AACGCTGCCACCCTCTCGCTTTTCCAGCAGCAACGCTAATGGCCTCTGGGAATACTCGCCCTTCCTCTGCGGCGTCGGATTGGCTGAAGGTTTGGAGCTTGCCTACCGTTTCGGCCAGCTGCTCTGGGATCAGATACCCGAGCCAATGCTTATAATCCACCTACACAACATGCTCGTACAGAAGAAGTATCTCGACCGGCCTATTGGGCTGTTTGCTTCTCTGGGGGAGACGTTCCGAGCAGCCTTCTACGCCGACGGCCAGCCCCCTACGTCAAACTTCCCCCAAGCACTCAGCAGCCGAGTTGACAAGACGGGTACTCATATGGCACAGCGCCAACGAGCCAAGCGCAGAGGGCAAGCCAACTCCATACATGCTATGCTGGATGTGGCCGCGAACCGTTTCTTCAGTACAAAGTCCAATCTTCTATTGTACCGCGAATCTGGATGGAACATCGACCGTATCCCCAATGAGGATCTTGGCAGGCAAACCTTGTTGCTCAATTTGCGCTCAGATGCCGAATCCTTCAGACAACGCTCCGCTGACACCGGTGGACCCCATCCGCTCCGCTTAGAGTCCGACAACGACCCCATGCCTGCGCTACCCCAGCTTCCAAAGCCCAAAGACCTGTCACGGCGAGAGTTGCTCGAGGCCATCCGGTTAGACATTAGCTCAGATGTCAGCGGTCCTTTTCCATACTCGAGTCTCAACTTTCCTTGGGTAACGGCGCGCATGATGACGATATTCATGATGTTTGAAGACGAGCTAAAGAAACTTAACAACCCCACGTATAACCAGATCTACCTTGCGAATAGTGGGCGCAATCCTGAGAAGCGAGTCTTCCTGGTGATGGCAGCGTTGTCTGAAACCGATGAAGAGTGTGTGCGGACCATGGCTAGAGTTATGGAAGAGCAGAGAGGAGGCTGGATGAACCACATTTACTGGGAGGACCTTGACGACTCCTTGGACCCACTTCGCGACCGTATAATGAATAGAGCTGATGTAATGGCGGTAGATGCATGTAGCATTATGTAAACAGTCATGAATGGGCTATATCTAGTCTGTATATGACGGATCTAGTGCACTGGAAACAGACTGAGCTAAGCGTGGCTTGTATATATATATATAAACAATCTAAAAGCCCTGTAGGTGTAATTGTTATCTAATCTAATCTAGTAAATTGGTATGTAGTAGAAAGCAGATTCTTGCTTTCTCAATACCAACATCTATTGACGCTCAAGTAGACACGCTTACAAACAAATAAAAGAAACAACAACGCAAGCTTCTCTCTAACCCCCAACTCCGGCTTTCAAGAATGCCATTATGAGCAATCCAATGCGTACTGATTGTTTAAACTTAGACTTGCACGGCCGAGACCTTTGCAAACATGTTTCCGATATCCATATTAGTCTTCTGGGTCTTTGGCTTAGTAAAAGGGAGACGTTCCAACTCTATTCAAGTATCAGCGCAGTCCTAACAGACAGTATATAGCAATTAGCCAGCAGGTCGACTTACCAAAGAACATCTTGATCCATTCCTTAGGAGCAGCTCCAACAGAATCATCCCACAGCGTGGTCAAATACAGAGCCGTCGTGCCGGGGCTGCCCTGCATCTCAAGAGCCGAAGCATTGAAGGTCGGGTTGGCCTTCATCGCGTCTGCAACGCGCGCAGCCCTCGCCTTGGCCGCCGTTTCCACAGTCACATACTTGGACATGGGATCCCTCGTGACCTTATTCAAAGCCATTCTGTCAGACATGGTCTTCCAAATCTTGGGATCAAAGCGCTCGGCATTTCCGAAGTAAACGTCATTGCGCGACAACGATCCGTCAAACTCCATGTAACCATGCTTGGTCACGTCATGGAGATTGAAGGTGGAAATGTTTCCCGTGGTTGAGAGCTGCATGCTTTGAACCTGCGCAAAGACATCGTCAAAAGTGTTGGGAGCATAGTTGTATGCAGCTGCGACGGCGTTTTGAAGAGTTGGCAGATCGATGTTCCTGCCATTGCGTGGAAGGTAGCCGTGGTTGGCAAGGACGTTGATGCCAGGGCAAGGAGATCGACCTGAAAATGTACTGTCAGTTTCCTGTGTATGGAAGAGTCGTTTCTGTAATCTCACTATCTTCTGGTCCTCCTGGAATCCATTCATGGCCCTTTACAGGAAAGTTGGGCAGAGCAAAGCCGGCGGCCAAGCTCCCCAGAGTCGAGATGAAAAACAAGCCACGCATGTTGGTTGATTGAAGTATTACGCTAGTTTCTCAGTGTAGTTGAGACTAATGGTAGAGCTACTCTGTCTTATTCTTTCCTTTCCAACCGTAACTCGTGGCGTACTTATACATCATCTCGAAGCCGATATCAAATACTTTGCTTCTTCAAATGTTCCATATTGGGTTAGCTCAACAAGGCGTATTTGGGGCGCGGGTCAGATGGAAGTTCTGAAAGTCTGGAGTAGCCAAAGCTCTATTCAGGGGCAGCCAATAGGGGTCTATCCTTTGGAAATCAGCAGGAGCGTATCCCATAGGTGCGGCAGAGCTGTGCCAATTAAGTGGCTCTCTTCAGACTAAACGCTTTGGCTAAACCGGTTACAGTCAAGCTGGGCTACAAAATCGTCTGGTGTGTATTTGAGTTTGGTTTTGGCACAAGCGCACTATGCCTGTTGTAATAAGCGAATACGCTGTGGGGCATACGCCTGAAGGAATACGCTCGAATCGCGGCTCGATGGACCTAGTCAGGCAGACCACTTGCTCGGTATCGTTTATGCACCTGATGACTAGACTTCGTAGGCATCATGATGCTATAAGACAATTAAAAATGTTATAATACGATCCTACAACGACGAGGATACGGGTATTTGGAATTGGAAGATGGCAATATTTGGAATTCATGATCCTCTGCTATTAAATGACATGTCGACATTTACTTGCCTGCTCTAGGCTCAAGCTCAGGGCAAAAATTGCAAATACACTAGATGGACATGAAATACGCTAGATGGAAGTGAAATACACTAGAAGGATGTAAAGTACACTAGATATAAGTGTAAGCCCTGTAAGAGTTTCCCTAAGAATCATGCAGCGAAATCTGCTCGAACAAGTTGCTCAAGCGGTGGAAGTTCTCGCAGCCTGTGAACCAGACACTCCTGCGTCCAACAATGGAATATACATATACACATATATACTGTGGCATATAACCATGGCATTGCACTACAATGAAGAGCCATTTTGTGTCAAACTTCCCAAGACTGCATGCAAATACGCTGTGGATGAAGACGGCGAGCGTATTTGAAGAGGCGGCTTCGGCCCTAATCTGGCAATCCACAGCTTTTACAGAGTTAGCGAGAAACTTTCGATAGAAACTTGAACATCTATCCATGTTGATCATAGATAATTAAACACGTAGTGTCTGGAGTTCTGAAATACTTAAAGTGAGCGGTGCCACTGAAACCTCAGTCTTGATGATGTGGTGGGAGAAACTCCAAGGAACGCGTACCCGAGTGAACTGCTCAGTGCTGATCTTGGAATTGAGGAGATAGTCGCCAAAGCCCTCATAAAATCGACCGTCTTGTCATTGGCGATGGCAAATGTTCACCCGGACGACTAAGCGGCCTATATTCTTGCCAGACTTTAACAACTCAACTACACGGACAAATATCTCTTCCAACTAGACAATCGACAAATACAGCCATCATCTTCTTCGGACAACATACTATGGTCTGCTCAGTGCTACCTGTAGTCACCTTGTTTGCCGACAGTCACTCGGTATACAGATAGGCACTTGGTATATCGATAGGCATATAGCCGGCAGACACTTGATTTGCCGACAGGTACTTGATCTACTGATGCGTCTTGATGATAATTACTAATTCAGGGAAATGAGGAAAAGGATAGTCGGTTATGCCGCACGTCCTACGCGACTCAAGCCAAGTATCAGCAAATATTACGAAAAAACGCCCGATGCGTACGAATCAACCGTATTTCTTGACTTATAGCAGGCCTTTGCAACATCACACGACTTGTATATCCTCACACCGCTCGATTTCCTTGGCGACTATGCCTGGCTGAGTCGTTAACGCCACAGACTTTCCAGAAGCAGACGCAGCTTATGCTGACGACGATGCAAATATGATGTGCATCAAGCTCAATCTCAGCAAAACGTCAACCTGGTCTAGGCTACGGCTAATGTTCCCGAGGACGTCTGACCCCTTGGCAAGTCATTGCGCGGTGAGTTACATTCGAAGTGGCGCCCTAAATAAGAGCAGCTCCCAAGAGTGCTAATGGCTACCTACACAATATAGTACCTAGGTAGTGGTTGCTATTGATGTGCCGCAGGACTTAAGCGAATAGCGGCCGTATAAGCGATTAGCGCTCGATCCTTTGCCGATATGGAGATAAAGAGATACGTTTCAGGATATTGAATTCGCGAAGTCCTGGCAGAAAGTTTTTATGCCAATGCAAACTTGCGCATCTCTAGCAAAGTCTGTGAACAGTCTTGAACAATTTGCAACTCAAGCAACGATGTCAGTTAACTATAGTTTTAAGCATGCCGAACAAGCATGCGAACAAGCATGCGAAACCGCTGAAGCAGGCAGGTCTCACGACTCTCTTATTCACTTATTCAAGTACTCAATCCATGCCGTTACGCGGCTTTGCTCCGTGCTTGTCCGTGCTGGTCCGCGGGCATTCCGCTCAACGCGTAATGTCGCTTGAAAGTTGATCGATCTATCGGGCTCTCGGGCTCTGCTGTCTGCAGGCCTTCCTTCTAAAGCTCAGCCCCAAAGTCTAAACAGACTAAGCGCATGGTTTGTTTCTCGATGCCTAGGCCCAAACACAGCCAAGCACAGCCGGATTTCAAATTCCAAATAGCCGCCAATTCCAAATTCACTTAGCGGGACTTTAATTGCGGTTTAGCGCATGCCTTTCAAACCCATCTTTAAATATAAAGCATAGTTCTAATGACTCGAGTTACTGTCACCGAGGAGTCAATTCTAAGTTTAGAGATTACCGCGAAAATGCCTACGCTTCTTACAAGTATTTCCAGAGAATACAAACACCGCCGTTCACATGAAAAATCCAGAAAGGGCTGCTTGAGATGCAAGAAACAGAGGAAGAAGGTGAGCTGCGATTATACAAGGTTGAGATGCTGAATTAAATGATCGCTGACCGCCCAAACAGTGCGACGAAGTACTCCCTGTTTGCACACGTTGCAAGAAGCGGAATCACGAGTGTCAATATACCTTCCAGGACGAGCGCTTCAGGCCCAAATCAAAACAAATCAGCCCTGATCCGGACCTGCTTGCACCAGAAATCCCAGGTCTGGGATACTTGAGTCTCATCGAAGCCAGCCCGAAGAGCTTCGAAGCCCGCTCCGACGATGCTTGTTCAAGTGTTTCCGGCTTTACTTCCGCATCGCCATATCTTGCTTCAAGAGTTCCGGAAGGGTCGCGGGCATCTCATGCTCTCAACTCTGAGGAGCTTGAGCTGTTAAGTCATTACATTACACATACTAGCCGCGTCATCCCCTATAATTCAGAAGATCTCTACGCTCTCCATGTGGGCATTCCGAATCTTGCCTTTGGTAGCAGGCCTGTCATGGAGTCTATACTGGCTCTATCGGCTGTGTGTAAGTGCTACGACATTCTAAAGCACTCGCCGGCGCCTCTGGAGAGATTGGACGAGATACAAAGGCTGCTTGCTCTAGCAGATCAGCATCACAGAACATCCCTTCACCAGTTACAGGGCGCTATATATGACGATCTCTGCGATACAGTCTTGGCTAATGCTGCACTGATGGTGCTGTATGCATTGTCCGACCACACTGTACGGGTGTTGCTTGCTAAGAAAGCGAGGCGAACCGGAGAAATATTATCCAACGACTTGTTGCCAATGCAGTCACAGTGGATAACTTCAATACGTGCTGCTTCTGTAGCGTATATTGGCCTACTAAACAGCACATGCGACGATGTTGGAGATGAGTTGCTGAGCCCAACTTTGACTGTGGAACACGATGGCCCCTCATGTTCAAGTAGCTTGCCTGGCGACGATGTTTACTTTCCTGAAGACGGCCCTTCAGAGGAAACGAAGCAATTACTGATGCCAATAGTGTCTGCTACATACAGCACCGCCTTGGAGAAGCTCGACGCACGGGCACAGGCCGTCTGCATGGAAGAAAACAACTTATTCGCTCACGATCCAAATGTTCAGAATTCCGATCTACAAGTCTGCCTTGCGTCTCTCAAGCTTCTGGAGCAACTTTTTGCAAAGGTCTTCTCTACCTGCCAGTCAAGACCAGAACCATCACAAATAATGTATGCTACATCGGGTTTCTTTCAATGTGGCAAATTAGACAAAGCCTCTCCGTGGCTGAGGAACTATATGGCTTCCGCGACATCCGCCAGGCCATCTAATCTACTACGGCGAATCATCATGTCCTTTGTGAACAAGGTACCATTTGAGTTTCTCCAACTTGTTCAATCAGCCTTGGATTATATGCCAGTGGCAGTAAATCAAAGCAACCCCAATTCTCCCGAGCAAGGTGTGCCACTTACTGCGGCGCAACGGCTGGCCATGAATATCTTTGCCCACTGGCTGGTTCTCGTTATGCTTTTGGATGGCGTGTGGTGGATTGGTAGCATTGGGCAGTGGGAATTGGGACGGATACTAGCATTTGCAGAGACCCAAGATTTGAGTCTTGGATCTGCTGAGGCGGATGGGACTTGGTGGCCGGAAAGTATGTACGCGGTTCAGAAAGCAATCGCCGAACGTATAGAGTAATTATAATGAACAGTTCTACGAGGTCTTAGCAGCGTCTAGAAATTAATGAAGAAAAATATGAATAAAGGCTGCCGTGTCATATTGATAGAGGAAGTTATCCAGCACCCCAATTGTAACTCAACAAGTCAGATAGTCCACCATACAACTGCCAGCTACATTTGAATAGTAGCAGTAGTAGGAACAGCAGCAATAGCAATAGCAATAGCCGAGACTTCCTCTGGAGTGCTGGATGACATAATTAAGGTTCTGGATGCATGTAACGTTTCCCTACATCTATTACCCCAGCCACTTTAACATCCACAGTACAAGTTTATAAGCAAGGCCAAGCTACATAGTTTATTCCTATAGTATTACTTTATCTCCTATGTCCGCTATGTGACCTATCGTATCACCTCGAAAATTGCCTAGTGGGGTTTGCCACAGCCTGATCGAGGTTGCCCCATCATTTACTTAGAAGAGGAGCTAGCTTACTTGCAATAATAAGCATATACAGAGGCCTACTGGCTAATTTTTCCCAGCTTATGGTATTTGTGCTGAACTAGGGAGCACCAGTCCCATCTGGCTGCGGAGATCTCTTAGATTAACATATATAAGTGGTCCTGTCTCCCGATATCTAAACTGATATACCAAGATCTTTCTATACAATTTCGCCAGTCTCTTTTAGTTCATTTTCTCCATTGACACTTTAGACACTAAACAGTCATCTCTTTCATTATTGTTCTCTTCTGAATCAGGCCCGACTAGTTGAGGACTCTCATACGCTACTGTTACAAACCAACAACTATAAGATATATACCTACGGAAATACTACAGACTAATAAACCAATTAAGAGAAGATTATGTTTTATATTATAAGCTACCTATAATAGATTATAAACACTAAAGTAAGCTATCCTAGAGGATTATAATTAAGATTATAAGCTACTTAAAATAACTTACTATATAAGATTATTTATTATACTTATTAAATAAAACTTAAATAGTTAATTATTAATATAGTACTTTTAAATAATAATTAAATTAATTATTTATAACTTTATTAGCTATATAATTACTTTATTTATTAAATTCCTTATATCTCTTTATTAATATAAACTAATGCCTTAGTTTATAAATTAAGAACTTACCCTATACTTAAGTATAATAGTATAGGTTAAGATATTATATATTAATAACTCTTATTTAGAAAGATACTTAAGATTTTTTAAGTAACTATAATAAACCATATATTAAATAGTTAGTAATATAAGGGCTTCCTAAGGGATAAACCTAAAGTTTAATTCTAGGTTTATATTAGCAGAGTAATTAAGAGATCTTTAAGTAATATAAATAGTAAGTAATAAAAGTTATTAAAGTGTAAATAGTATAAAGTGTATTATAATTTTAATTTTATATTAATAATTAATTATTTAAGTTATTTAAATAAGTATAGTAAAGTAAACTTATATATTTAATTACCTAAATTAAATTAATAAATAATAAGTTAATTTATAAATAAATTAATATTTATTTTATTAATTTAATAATAAATTAAAAGAAATTTCCTTAATTCTCCTTTAATTAATTAGCTAATCCTAAGTTAATCCAGCCCTATTTACCCTATAGGCCTATTAGTATAACTATAAGAGTTAAGTTATAATATAATACTCCTTTTTTATTAATTTTATCCCTAAGACCTTACTTATTTAAGTATAAATATTTACTTTTTTCCTTATAGGTTCCTTTTTACTCTTTTATTATTCTATTATATCTTATATTAATAATTATAATAAGTATTTATAAAAGTTCTTATTTTAAGATTATATATTATAATATTCTTTTAAAAGTTATTTTATTTTATTTTATTAAAATAAAGAATTATATTTATTATTTAAATAAAAAAAAATATTATTTTTTTAAGTATTAAATATTTAAAAAAAATTCCATTAGGTATATTAAGTATATAAGGGATAATAAATCTTTATATAATACTTATTCTTTTTCCCTTATATAGTTATAAAGGATTACCTCTTTTTATACTTAATTTAAGGATAAGCTAAAGGCAGCGGAGGAATAGTAAAAAGCTATTAATACTAAAATTAAGTATATTTAAAAGAAAAAGTAATTTTAATTAAAGAAAATAATATATATAGTTATATAGGATATTAATAATTTAAAGGAGTTAAAATAAGTTAAGTAAGAGAAGTGTAAGGCGGAGGCTATTTATTAAGCTGCCTTATTAGCGCTTAATTTTACTGCTATTAGCTTATTTTAGTCCATTAATAAAGTTAATTAATTATCCTTTAAGTTAAACTTATTATTATTTTTACTCTTAGAGACTAATAAAATTCCTATAGAATTATTTAAGCGTTCCTTTTAAGTTCTTTTTTTAATACCTAAGAGTTCTTATTATTATTATAACCTTTTTATTTAATAAAATACTCTTTTTCTTTAATTATTTTATTTATTTATATATAAGTTAATTTTTTAATTTTATATTTTTCCTTAATATTTTAAATAATAATTTTATTTATAATTAATTTACTTATTTTTTTATTTATTAATACTTTCTTAAGTAATAATATATAAAAAATAGCTATTTTTAACCTTATATTTTTAAATAAGTTTAATTTATAATTAACTTTATTAATTTTCTTTAAAATTTTAAATAATTTAAGTTTTTTAAAATTTAATTTATTACTTAGCTTATTTATTTTAATATTTAGTAATTTTTTATTATATAAATATTATAGTAAGTAAATTATATCTCCCTTTTAAAGGATTAGTCCCTTAATTCTTATTTAATTAATATATTCCTTTATATATTACTTAAAGAATTTAAGTTAAACTTTAAGTTTTTTTTATAATTAAATTATATTTCTTATAAAAATATATATATTATTTATATTTAAACTATTATAAAGTAGTCTATAAGCTTCTAGTGTAAACCTATAATTAGTATAAAATAGTATAACTCTTATAGTTTCTATTATAAAGCTATTATATTATATTTAAGTAATTAATAATATTTTAACTTAGTTATCTTATTAAAGGTTAATATAATATTATAAGTATATTTTAATAATTTAATTTATTTATTTTATTTATTTATTTATTTATAAATAAAATATAGTACTTAATTTATAATAGGTTTTAAGTTTAACTATTAATTTTTACTAGAATTTAAATATAAAGGTACTTCCTTTATTTAATATAATTTCTTTTAGTATTTTATATTTAATAAATATATATCTTATATAAAAATATACTAAGTTTTTTATTATATATAATTTCTTATATAATAAGAAATATACTTATTTTAAAAGTTTATTTATAATTATAAAAATATTATTAAATTATTTTTTAATTAATAAATCTTTTAACTTAAGTAAATTAGTAATATAATTAAATATAATAATATTTTAATTTCTTTCTAAAATTAAATATAATTATAGTATTTTATATAGTTAATGCCTTTTATTTTTTATTTTCTTATATATATTATATTTTTTAATAACTTTTAAAATTTTATTTTTTATTCTTAGAAATTTATAGTAATAAATAGTATAGTTTTAAGTAATATAAATACTATAGTATATTATTATAATTATACTATAATATAAGTCTTAGATTACTTTTAATTATAACTTTAGTAATATTTAAATTTTTCTTTCTTATTTTAATAAGCCTTCCTTAATAATTACTTTTTTTAAGAGTTTTTTTAATTTTATATTTATTATATATTCCCTTATTTTATTAAAAATAAGGTTATATTCTTTTATAATAAATAAGGTATTAACTTATATTTATTTATAGTTTCTTTAATAGTTCTTTCTTAAAATTTAAGCTTTAAATTTTAGGATTTCTTTAAAGTATTTTTCTTTTTTACTTAAGGTATTTACTTATTTATTAATAGTGCTATTATAATAAATAAGTTTATAATTAAAGTTTAAGAGTATTTTAAAATATTATATTTATTATATAAAAAGTTTTTAAGTTTTAGTAAAGTATATAATATTATAGTAATTAATATAAACCTTAACTTTATACTTATTTCTTAAATAATAATATTTTTATTCCTTAAATACTTTAAAAATTACTATAAATTTTTTATTATATATAAGGTATTTTAGCTTTAATTTATATAGTTTTTATAAAAAAAATATTATTAAATAGTTTTTCTTATTTTTATTTTTTTATATAAGTACTCCCTTAATAGTAAAATTTAATAAATTAATCTTAATTTTTAATAATTTATTAAGATTATATATAATAAATATAAGTTTATTAAAAAATATATTTTTAAGTTATTTAAATATTACTTTTATTTTTAATTTATATATAAGTTTTTTATTTTTTAATTTTTTCTTACCTTTTTTATTTTTTTTAAGTTAAATAATATTAATAAGTAATTTAATAATTTTACTATAGTTTTTAATAAATTTTTAATAATAATTTACTAAGCTTAAGAAGCTTTATATTCCCTTTCTTATCTTTAAAAATTCTTAGTTTTAAATTACTTTAAGCTTATTAAAATTTATTTAAACTTATTTTAATAAAATTAAATATCCTAGGAATTTAATTTTTTAAATATAAAAATAATATTTTTTTAATTTTACTAAGAGATTAATATCTTATAGTATTTATAATACCTTATAAATATATTTTTTATATTCTTTAAGGGTTTTTAAAAAAATAAGAATATTATTTAAGTATATAATTATAAAGTTATTAATATATACTTATAATATATAGTTAATTATTTATTAAAATATTACTAATATATTAATAAATTTAAATAATATTATTAAATATTTAAATAATTTATAATATATTTTAAATATTATTTTTTATTTATCCCCTTTATAAATATAAATTAAGTTATATACTCCCTTAAGGTTTAAAGCAGTAAATTAATTTATATTAATTAAGTAATCTTAAATTTCTATAATAAGTAATAATAGGGTTTAATTTTTAATTATAATTTTATTTAGCTATTTATAGTTAATAATTAATTTAAG